TGCGTACAACTTCTCCTTCCTCAGAACTTCTAACACTTCTCGCACGTGCTTGCCATGCTCCTGCTGGCTCTTTGAGTAAACCAGAATGTCATCTATGAACACTATCACAGATTTATCGAGGAATGGTTTACAAACCTTGTTCATCAAATCCATGAATGCTGTTGCAGCATTGGTTAGTCCAAATGACATAACCAAGAACTCACAGTGTCCATATCTTGTTCTGAATGCAGTTTTCTCAATATCATGCTCTATTACTTTCAGTTGATGATATCCTGACCTAAGATTGATCTTTGAGAAATAGCTCGAACCTTGCAGCCGATCGAATAGGTCGTCAATCCTTGGCAATGGATACTTGTTCTTCACTGTTGCCTTGTTCAACTATCTGTAGTCTATGCACATGCTCATGTGTCACACCCCCAAACCGGAATGACAGAAACGTTCGGGGGCAGAGGACGTCATGTACAGTATCATAACAATTGCATAATAGTAATCAAAGCAAACACAATCATTACATTGATGGGATATAGTATGTACATCTCTTCAATACATAGTTTGTATGACATCAAAAATGTATAACAAACGTATAAAAGACACGACTATAAAAGCTCCATCTTCTCAAAACCTGTGGGTGTACCTGTCTACCGGTTCCCTAAGAATACAAGTGGTTTTGAAAGTATATCAACATTTAAGTTGGTGATTTCATAAGTATCTTTTTGTAATGAAATCTTGTCTTTGTTCTTTGAAATCGTTCGTAAGTTCCTCAAGAAAATCCAATATTTTCTTTAGTATTGAAAAGTAGTCTTAGGCCTTAAGACCAAAATGTACGTTTGTTACTGTATCATGTAGTTGTGTATGAAATTTTTAGTATGTATGCCTGGTTACCACTAGCTGTATTATATAGTGTGATTTGGTATGAAAACCTTTGTATGAAAAACCCTGGATACCACCAGTAATGTATAGTATTGTTCTGTATGAAAACCTTGGATACCACCAGTAATGTATAGTAGTTTTATTACTTAAAATAAAACCATATGTTTGTATTCCCTGGAATCCTCTAGTTGTATTGTATAGTAGTTCTATTAATTAAAATAAAACTATTTGAAGAATTGAAATCCCGTAAACAAATGGTTAGTTTATACTGTTGTGAGTTTCGTATAACCATGCTTGATATGACCTAGTGACCTCTACGACGTTCTTCAGGTGTCGGAATGTTATGCCATTTGTCACCCCAGGCATGCCTGCCTAACTGTAGCTAGCAGTTCAGGTGTGGGATTGTCAGTCCCGTATAGATCTATACACAAATCTCACGCTCTCCCTCCAGGAGACTCTGGTTATATTTTAGTAGGATTTAGTTCCGCACCCCGAAGGGATACAATTGAAGTAGTTCCTCACAACCCTTTATTAACTAGTTTACGTGTAGTGTTGTATTGTTCTCTTGTACTTGAAAATGTTTGTATAACCTTGTAGTAATGTACTTTGTAGTGTAAAATAATTATACTTAAATAATTATTTAGTAATGCATCCCTTATCCCCGGGAAATAGTATAGTGTTCCATAAACTATATCTACCATAGTTTATTTGTTTGTTTCTGAAATATGTTCTTGAACTTGTAAAATAATGTAATGTATCCCAAACTATACCTATTATAGTTTGTATGTATGTTCTTGTTTCCTGTAATGAATTCTATAAAAGTAATGTAATGTTCCCAAACTATATTAATTATAGTTTGTCTGTATGTTATGTATTGTACTGAAAACTTTGCAATTACGGTTGTATGGTAAAAACTACCCTTATGCTCATCATGAGGGATAAAAATATATGAATATTTTTATAAAATGTATTGATTTCTCGGTTTGTATCAATTGCAAAAGTTTTTAATCTGTTTGAAATCCTTTGTATAAAAACAAAAAAAACCTTGTATTTTACTTGTATTCCCCCATGAAAACATTAAAAACAGTGAAAATGTAGGGGTATGAACTCGTAGTTTTTTGTGCACGTGTTGGACAGCGAGACTGAAGAGATGACCCTTGAGTTGATGTACGCAGAATTAACGGTATCCTAATGATAATTATACATATAATTGTATTTAAAATTAGTGAAACCATTAATACAAGTGTTAGAAGTTTTGTGTTGAGGGTAATTACCGAAAATTTGCACAAGTGTTGAAGGGTTTTCGGTTCCAAGGAGTTTTGGTTCAAGGGGGTTATTGGCTGAAAACGGTTTGCAGTCCTGAGCTGTTTTCGGTCATTTGAAGATTTGAAGGCTGTTCTTGGTGTTCTTGGTGAAAATATGAAGATTTGAAGGTTTCCTTTGAATATATGAATGTTCCACTAGTACAAAAATGGCCTACGGACACACCATAAAAGTGTGACCATATGCATATAGTGACATTTTATTTTTTCACTGAAAGTGTGACGGAAAGTGACGTCATCGTATGGGTCTTATGGTCACTTTAAAATATAGTATCCGTATGATATGAAAAGATGTGGCCGTATTATAAAAGTGTGGCAATTGGGTAGGAAATTTTGTTCATAAAATCAATCATTTTATCCAATATTGTGACGTTAAACCGTCAGTAGACACATTTATTTAGTAATTGTTGTGACTGTATATCACCAACTTGCGACATGCATGTTGTTTTAGTGTGGCTTTTCTCTAATATATTGTCACACAATTCAAAGTCTATTAATACTATTGGATGTTTTTTTGCAGACATGCAATTACGATGAACATGACCATGTTCACTAAATGGCCACATGTAATTGCTTTCATAAGTGACAATTTGCTAATAATTACTCACACAAACAATATTTTATTGTGACTATTGTCTATCATATTGTGATACACAATTAAATGAAACATGACCATAAGTGTTATAAAGATACATTTTAAAAAAATTATAGATTTAATGTTAGCTTACGGTCATATTTGTAATACTTATCATGACCGCTTCTTTTATTCAAACATATAAAAAGTCGTAGGTATGACTATTTTATATAATTTCGACATAAAAAATAATTAAAATTAACCATAATTGATTTATAAACACAGTGGTGCAACTAATATTTATTTAAATCACATAAAATATTATAATTTTGGTGTGACAAATATTTATATAAAGCCACATGAATTTTGTTTGATATGGTGTAACTAATGTTTATGTAAAGCTACAGTTATCAATGGACATATTATTCATTTTATTTCCAATTTTTTGTAAAATAAAAACAACAGTAAACATGATAAAAACTTAAAAGAAAATGGTATTAACATTAATAAAAAAATCAATACATAAGTTTTCAATTCAAATACTAAAGACATTAGCTTGTAATCAAAAGATATATCTATAGGACTTTACACATAAACTAAGAACTATATCTCCAACATTTTTGTCATGCCCTCTAACGTTGTATAAGTTTTCTTTTTCTTCTTAGAATCATGGAGTTCCATGTTTTACTTTTGATTGGATGGTGGATTTGGTACCTGAAGCAATAAAAAATTGTAGGTGTCAAACATTAAGAAAAATATGAATAATTAACTAGTGTAAATGTGTTATACTTGTGCATTAGTCGAGTTGACCAATGTAATCTTTAACTTCTTTAATTTCATCTTACTTTCATTTTTTTCTATTATAGTATTGTCCTTTTAAGAAAAAAAATATCAAAGTATAATGCTATAATTGGATAGAATTTTCAAAGTATAATGTCCTTATAAAAAAAAGTTAGAAGTATAATGTTGTAATAGATTAACAAATGGGAGTAAGAATTTAAATGAATACTTACATCTTTTGTAATAAATCCATCAAAAAGGTTTGTGGTTTTCCAACTACATTTAGCTCTTTCTTTGTTGCCCCACAAACAGCAACAGCCATGCACCGAACACCTAACAATGCAACACATTACACTTAATTACCACATGACCCTTAAATCAACAAAGTCAAAGCTTGAGACTCAATTTGTGAAAAATCAAACAACTAGGACTAAAGATGTTGTACTTCATTACATTGAAACCAGACCCGAAAAATAAAGGTGGGATAGAGACTCATGCTTGATATTTGAGTGCAAAAGATGTGAATGCCCTTAATTCTTACCAGTCCATTCTTGTAAATGAGTCATATTGATAGTGACACCGCTGTTAGTAGCAATGAAAATGCATCTTGGATTTTCACGAATGCAAAGATTTGCATACCAACAAATTACTCACTACTTACAACTTTTTATAAATTTAACTTCAACAAATAGATATAATTCAAGAACACTAGGTATATAAGATGTTGATAAAATGAGTAAATATGGTATCTTACTGTATTTTGTAATAGTTTACATTTTTATCATGTCCAACCACAACTGCTCCAATCTGCATCATAACTTAAAAAAAAACTATTATATTTGATGACGTACTATTAAGCAGTAAAAAATATTTAAAATATGAAAACAAGTTATGTAAACATTACATTTTTATCATGCTTAAAGAGAGTAATTACTTTAAGTTGCATAGTTTTTGTCCCTTCTTCCTGCAGATGCATCTATTAATGTCCAACCAAACCATTTATCATGTATAATTTTGTCAATTTTTAATTAAAGAAGAAGAAATGGAAGGGAATAAAGGTAAAACCCTCAATTTTGAATCTTTTTTCACCATATAGCCTAACAATAAGATAGACAAGTAAATCAGTTTGAGGCATCAATACATGCCCTAATTATGCTCAAGGTTGTTTCTAATGGTGAACAATAACTGAAATTATGATTCATCATCGATCTACTTAGCTCATCAGTATACTTGTATTTGTGTATAGAAGAAACCCTAACTATAAGGAAATTATAATAACAATTGTAGAATGCACAAAGATATGGTAACTTGCAGTAACTCAGCAATATATCACTTTTCGTTTCATCAATAAGCTAATTAAACAAGCAATGTTCAGGGAAAATCAGAACCCCAAATGGAAAAAACCTCAAGTATATTTCAATCAATTTTGGAATTAAGGTTTAATTCTGACCTGATTACTTGCAATAACATCCACCACAGGCATTGTATTCTTCTTCAACTGTAGTTGTCAAATAAATCGTAGGGAAATCAGCGACATCAAACGACTTCTCCTTCATCGCTTTAACGATGTCACCTTTCTTTAGTACTATGCGGCGGACGGGTGGGCGGTTATGGTGCTGATTGCGAGAGAAGCATTTGATGTCGAACACAGTTTCTGGATCGGAGGTCAGGACGATGGCCTTAGCCGGTTCAGTGGCCGGACAAGACCTTCACAGGTTAACATTTTTTAAAATCAACTAATCAAATGCTTTTAGAATGGAAGAAGAACTAACCTTCAAATATGACAAGGATACATGTTGGAGGGATTCCGGAGGAGCCGACGACATCAGAGGATATCCGGAGGAGCAGAAGGAGTAGCATTGACTAGAAGGCGACAAAGAAGAGGCAGACAAGGTTGGTAACAGTGGCTACTGTTCACCGGAGGAGGCAGAAACACAAATCGATGGAACCACCTCCCATCGATCAGACAAGAACTCACCTCCCATCCGTTTAGGGTTAGGTGGTGGTCGTGAGTGATATGGCGAAAACTGGTGGGTGATGGCATTAACCGATCGTCATAACTAATCATGTTGGCGGAAAAGGAGTGCGGTGCTGCGTCTATGCAATTATTGTGGTGGAGAAGGATGATGAGGAACCTGCTGGCGCAAAAGGCGGCGATTTTGGAAGGCGCTGGTGAGGGGAAACGCTGATTAAGTTTTTAGAGTTGTAATAGAGGTCAAAATTTTCGTTTCTAGAGAGAAATAGGGGATAGACTTGGCGCCTAATGCAATCAAAAGTTCAAAACTATGATTTTTGTGTGCATATCTTATTTATTTAAATATCTAGATTTAATAATAATAATAATAATAATAATAATAATTTAAAAATCTAGGATTTTAATGATAGTGTTTTGATAATTGTTTTTAAAACCGAACCGGACCAGCCAATTCAACCGGTTTATTAACTGGGAACCATGACGTCACCAGGTTTTTCAAGCCCAGAAACCACTTGTTCTGAACCCAAACCAGATGGTTCAATGGAAAACCGGGTTAAACTGGTCCGATTCAACCAATTTAAATCATTTTTTTTTATAAATTCATAAATTCAAACTCGGGCTCAACCAATTTGATTGCAAGACCGTTTTACTAAACAACCTTTAAAATCGTTGATATGTATAGAATATGAAGTTAGCGGATGTTTCTTAAAACATCAGAAACATCCAATATATGACACTTTGAGGTCAATGGAAATAAGGAAATGAGAAGTGCATTTGTGTAAGATAAAATTCGGTAAGGTTTTATCTTTTTGTCAATGTGGGACAAGTTGAACTTGTAGGCAAAGAAAAATCCTTCTTTAGGAGTCATGAATAAAACTGAATACCTCAATTCTAAATACTAAGCACCCTAACCACTAAACCAAATTGTTACTTGCTTTATTATATCGGTTTAGATATTCATAACATTGTTGAGTGCATGTAATTCATTTTAGCTCATAAAGGAAGAATCGACAATGTTCTTTTTTTAGATTTTCATTTGCTTTGGTGTAAATTAAGCTTCCATAAGCTCAAACAATATATATATATATATATATATATATATATATATATATATATATATATATATATATATATATATATATATGGCATCATCTGGTTTTTAGGATCGGTTCGTCGAACAGTTAAACCATCGAATCATTACGACCACTTCTAGTCCGATTTTCAAAACCTTGGTTTTGATGAGGTATGGAGATCTATGGGTGGGGAGAAGGTGTATATAGAAGTATGGGGGTAGGTATGAGGTAAGAATGGGGATCGGTGGTGATAGGGTAAATATGTGGGTGGTTTGGGTGAGGATCTGGGTGTAGGGTAGGTGTATGTTGGGGTGGTGTAAGTTATGTAGGATAAGGTAGGTTGACATGGAAGTGTGGGTGTGGATGTGGGATGAGGTGGGTATGGGGATCTAATGGGTGGGTGGTGTACTTAAAGTAAGGTAGAGTTGGATGGATGGGTGGGTGGGTGTGGGTGTGGAGTATGGGGTGTGGTGGGGGTGAAATGTAAGTAGGGTGGGGTAGGTGTCGAGATGGGCTTGCAGGAATGGGCCTTAAGCCCTAATAACTAAAGCCTTAAGCATTAAGCCACAAGCTATATATGCGATAAGCGATAATCTGTAAGCCAAAAACGCTAACCTTAAGCCCTACAACACAAATCATAAACCCTAAGCAGTAAGTGTTAAGCCTTACGCACTAATCTATAGGCCATAATCTTTGATCCTTAAGCCATATTCCATATGTCATAAGTCATCATCTATAAGCATTAAGACATAACCCTTTATCCATAAGCCACAAGCCATAAGTCATAGCCATAAGCCACAACCCATTAGCCCATAAACTACAAGCCACAAGCCCTAAGCCTTAAAGCCTAAGCCTTACGTCAAAAGTACTAAACCTTAAGCAGTACGCCATGAGTTGTATGCCATAATCTCTAAGTCTCAAGCTATAAGTCATACGCCATAAGACAAAACCCATAAGACATAGTCCATGAGCCATAAGCTATAAATCATAAGCTATAAGCCACAAGCCTCAATAATCCTTCACTACAAAATCAATTGTACAAAAAGCAAACATATTTTTTATAAACACTATGTCCTATGTCCTATGTCCTATGTCCTGAGCCTTAAGTCCTACACCCTTAGTTGTGAACCATACGTCATAACTCATAAGACATAATTCATGAGCCCCAAACACTAAGTTTTAAACCCTAAGTCATGATCCATAATTTCCAGTCTACCCCCCCTTTTGCCACGTAGAGTTAATGTAACTCACTATGCCACATAGTCCTAATCAAAATAACACACAAATCTAAAAATGTCAACACGGCTACAAAGCACATACCCTTGCTATGATGTTAAGACCTTTCATAGTCATATCGCTTGCTAGCCGATGCATGAAATGCAAACATATATATCATTAATTATATATACAACTTACCTAAAATTTGAACATCCAATTTAAAAAATGTGTTTATTTATTTTATTTTGTTTTGTTTTTTTGTTAAAACAACATTATATGTGGTCCCAAGCCACCTACCAAAACTTAATTGTCCCACTAGGGATGAGCACTAAACCCGGTGGAACCAAACGGGTCCAAAAAAACCACAATGGAAACCTGGGTATTTAGACCGGTTATCGGTTCTTCATTTTCCACTAAATCGGTTCCCAATTCTTTGGTAAATCAAACAAAAATGTTTTTTTAAGTAGCTAAATATTTACAAATCTATAGTTGGCTGCCTTTAATATTGAAACAGCCTAAATGATCGGTTAACTATGGTCTATGACATTTGGAAAATAATAATATAAATTATATTATTATTTTCTAAAATATATAAATTATATTATATAATAAGTGATAGAAAATTTATATTTTCTAAAATATATAAAAGTAATTCATTTACTCGGCCCTTAGGTTTAAATCATACATACTTATAAAGCTAGCATTTTTTTTTGAATCTCATGCATTTGAAACCTCCTTTTTTAACTTCCTCAAACCACATTCATTTGAAACCCCCTTTTTTAACTAATGCAACTCAAAAGTTTTCTTAATTATGATTTAACACTCAAAAGTTTATAACTTATATTATGTTTAATTAGCATTTAGTGAAAAATTTACTATAAAAAGGTCAATCTTTTGGGAAGACATGCATACAAATCATATACAAATTTCAGAAAGAAAACAAACTTAAAGGTTTTTGTGTTGGGTTGAGGTCTTATGACCACTTTTGGAGATATGTTATTATATTAGAGCTTTTAATTTGTAAGTTTGTTATACTAATTCGTTTTTATATTTTCTTCGTTTTTGGATTATTGTAATACAGTCGTTGTATATTGTGGTTTAATCGTTAATATATTGATCATATGTTATATAGGGTGATGTCGAAAATATTTAATTAAATATTTTTAATATGTTTTTTTTGTTTTATAATTGTACCGTTTCAAAAAGATAATTAAGTAAAACTCATACATATGTTATACTTTCCATCTCTCTCTCTCTATATATATATATATATATATATATATATATATATATATATGTATATATTATAATAATAATAATAATAATAGAGGTCAAAACACTTCAACCAAAATTCATTTAAAATCTAATATTTCAAATGCTTTTTTAATAATGATTGTAAAAATTTCAACATGTGTTACTTAATTGATTGATTAATAAAATATTAATGTTTTGAAACTCCTAACTCTTAAACTTATATTATTTAATTTGTTAGTTAACTAAAATATTTTTCCTACATAAAGATAACATTTTTATGTTTGGTTACTCATATTTGTTTATGTAATTAGAAAACAAGGTGTATATAGAATGACTACTTCAATTTCACAAAGGAATCGATACCACTAGAGAGGTATGTTGTCTTTAACCGGTGGTAGGAGATCCACATACCCTTTTTAATTATTTATATAAATGCTTAGTAATATCTATTTTATATTCCTATTCACCTTAATTGTTTAGGTACAAATTAAGGAAGAAGATTATCGGCGCACCAACATAAAGTCAAACGTACGCCTTGCAAAATATGTAATTAAAATTAAATATTATATTTACTAATCGACTTATTTTAAAACTCTTGATGACATTTATGTATAATGATATATTTTGTATTACTTCATTCTTAATTTCAATGTTTAATATTTGAAAGTTCATATATGAAACCTTGGATGTTTTGGTGTAATATAAATAGTGTAATACAAAGTTTATTAGTTCAATATTGTTTATTAATAGCTCATTCAAAACAACTTATTTCTTATTTTATCCAAAATATATATAGGACATAAACAAAATAGAGTATATTAATGTTATACAAAAACTTATAATATATATCGGATATTATAAAAGTAAAAGTAAAGTTTATAAGGTATGGACTATATTAGATAGTATCGAAATATAAGTTGATGGATTTTTATGTTATTTGATAATTCGATTAATGCCCAAAACATGACTAAAAACGTAAATTTCAACATATTTCTATTTTTTTCCCATAATTATTTTAACCACTTAAATGCATTCTTGCGCAACGCGCGAGGTTACGCCTAGTATACTTATAAAGGAAGTATTTTTCCTTTCACCACATTCATTTGAAACTTCCATTCATTTTTTCTTTCACCACATTCATTTGAAACTCCCATGACTTTTCAATTTCTTTCTAATAATGATTTTAAGTTGGTTGATAAGGTTAAATAAATATAAAACCTAAAGTGTAATCAGATATAAACTAAATTTCAATATTAAAAGAATATATTTTCTTCTACTTATAAAGTTATGTTTTTAACTTTTAACATATTATACTTAATTTATTAGCTCTAATATGTTGTTGTATGTAAAACATTGTCATTTTAAAGCTACAACTTTTGAATAATTTGTATAAAATACTTAAACTGTAAATTTATATACAACCTTACAGGATCAACTTAAATATAAATTTTTGTTCAACTTAAACAACCTAATGAATATTTTTTAAATAGTTAAAAGTGATAAATTGTAGTGTCTTTCTAATAA